TTTTAAATTTCTAAATTAAATAATGAATATCTCACACTGATAGCGTCAAGGGATCTGTTCTGCGTGATGACGAACTTCTTGAGGAGCACGGCCTCCCTGACGCTGTAGAGGCACACGTGCTTGGAGTTGCCGCCGCACAGCACGCTGCCGCCGTCCGCCGAGTAACATATTGTCGTGAAAGCCCTGAAATTACATTAATTTACTTAAAATTACATAAACAATACATTTACAGTAAACTTTGATACACTAGATATAGGAATAGTAATACAAAAAAATGGATAGTTAATAACACTCTTTTCAGTCTTTTTTGTGATTTTGGCCGACTAAATATTGAAACGAATCTCGGACACTTCGCTTAATAAACGCCGTTTACAAAATATCAGACATCAAAATGTTAATAGAATTTAAGCATTTTTATACAATAAGGTGGCAAACGAGCAAGTGGCAACCTTAATCCGCCAAAATGGCGAACGTTGGCGATGCGTTGCCTACATTTAAGACATCGCATATTTCAATATCGTTTCAATATTCGACCGTTAATACAAGAAAGATACAATAGGTGACAGTTAAACGATTTTAAATGCATCCAAATGATGATGAAGTGCGTTAGTGAATAAAATAGTGTAAAAATGTGATATTAACTTAGATTTAAGTTGTTGCTTAGCTGTAACAAGGTCCGTGTCGCCGCGGCCGGCGCCCAGGTCCGCGCGGCCCTCGATACTGCCGCTCTGCTCGCCGCCCGAACTGAAGAACGTTATATTGCCGTCCAACGTCGACACTGCTATCTGGACCATAAGGAAAACTAAATAAGACACAGTTTTTTACACGGCCTAATTTAAGTCCCTTTCTCTTTACCACCCTTTTCTTGTAAAGAAAGGTTGGGAAGAGGAAGTGGATATGACAGTGGAGGAGATGCATAGGAAGGGGAAATATCCTCTTTATGTGCGTCTCCTCCTCCGTCGGATAAGGGTAGGCAACGCATCCGCAATTGCGGATGCCTATGGGCAGCGGTCGCTTCGCCACTTTGGCGATTTCAGGTGACCGCTTGCCTGTTTGCCACCTTATGTTATAAAAAAAAAAGTTTACATTGAATTATATACCTTTGACATGCCAATAAGAATTAACCAATCATAGTTGTGTAAACACACTTCTTTGTTGCCTAAGATGTCAGCAATTACAACATATTTTTGAATAATTCTTTTTTTAATAAAAAGCCCTACACTTACGTCACGCTTTATGCTATATATTTTCACGCCATTAAACTTAGGGGGTAAATATTTTGGATAAAAAGCTTAATGTGGGAAAGAGACCATATGTTGTTGTCAACGTCAAGGAAGCAAGATTGCCAAGGTTTGTCATGTCATGTCATTTTGACATTTGCTGTTGATAATTTGAAAAATGGAAACATTAAAGTAAAATTTTCATAGTTTCATGCGGATGAAACCGCTGGGGACAGCTAGTTAAGAATAAAACTTGTGAAAAAAATTGTTTTAGGTAACCTCCGAAACGGCTGGACCGATTTCGAAGGAACTTTCACTGGAAGATAGCTAATGTATGCGGGAGTAACTTAGGTTACTTTTTTTATTTCGTATTAACGAATTCACAAGTTACAGTTATTTTTTAATCTTGATTCATACCTCTTCACCGTCCGGTCTATACGCAACTTGCAGCGCGTCAGACGTTAGTTGTATGAGCTCGGAGTCGGTGCTGGTCTCTATGCAGTTCCAGAGGCGCA